CGATAAAGACTTGCTCTTCATGACCTTTCATAAAATTTATGGCAGCAGTGGCAGAGGAGGTCATCTGACCCCGTGGGAGGTTAATTAACCAGAAACGGACACCACTGATAAACGCTCTCCACGGTTTTGAAAATCTAACCCCATTCAGTATAATAAACTACAGCTTTTCCTAACTCTGTACAAGATTGCGATTCATCATATCTTCATGCGAAATGCATGAGCATTAAAAACTATTCCATAACCATGGCAACACAGCGTTTAACGGTTGTTACTATACTTTGGTATACACTTAAACTGTGTTGAGAAATTGGAACCAGTCGAAGTCAAAACCGGCGAACTATATATAGTAAAAAGCCGATATGGCTTTCGTTAAACACACGCAATGAACTATTACAAAATCTAAGAGAAAAAGTAAACACATTCGTCCATTTTCCAACAAAACCGGTAAAATTATTAATATATAAAATGGCTTACCTGTTATTAACCTTCCTGTTATCTCGTGAGGTGCACGCGCGGCCAACGCCCTAGCCTCTCGTGCTTCGAAATGTAAATCCAGTATAACATGAACGGTAATACAGCACGAGAGTTTCTAGACTGGCAGATATCACATGACTTACATACCACGCGCTTATTGCAGGGAATTAGGAGTATGGCGACTCAGGGCATATACAGTGAAGTTACTGTTGAATAGGCTAGACAGAAGAAGGAATAAATGAACGAACGAATAATGGAGCGTTGCCACGGTAATTCAGGAAAAACCTTGACTATAATTTGTGGATATTTACTATTTGATTAAGCGCAGGTGTCGGAAGTTTTGATTTATTTTACAGTCAGAGAAATGTTTTTTTGTATTATCAGCGTGAAATGTTTTTTTGTATTATCAGCGTGAAATGTTTCAAATAAAGATAAAATCATTTGTAAATATTAAATAGAAATTAAAGATGCATTATGTAAGAGCAAAATCTGCCCATTTCTAGTATTTTATCTGGCTTCAAATCTTGTATAAATTATTAGTAGACATTTATTCACACGCCAAGCCTATAATCAACTCTCTAGGCTACCGTATAACCGAGATTTAAATGGATTTGAACACTCGCGAAATTTAAAAATTTAACAATAAAATGGATAATCGAGACTTAGTCTCGATTGTCAAGTACTGTTGCTACGATAATAAACGATCTGCGCTACATCTTCAAACAGTCTCAAATGAAATTTCAATATATTCATTGTTAATTATTCATTTTTGAAATATTTTTATAGCAAGAACTTCCAGTTCTTTATCTAAATCTTACATAATGCATTGTTACCGTTGTTACTATAATAAACAATGTCTCGATTATCCATTCTTACGGTTAATCATGAACGGCCTTTGAACCGTAGATCGGATTCAAATCTGTTTAAATTCGTACCCATCAGATGGTATCGATAGTTGATTATGGTCCAGTCATCTTAATAAATGTCTAATTATATAAATAGTTCATATAACATTTAAAGTCTAAAGAAAGACCTGCAAGAGGCAGATTTAGCTCTTGAATAATGTATGTTTAAGTAGTGCAGACGTACAGACGATTTCGGATTTTATAATCGCACTGTCGCCCACAAAATATAATATTCTCGGGGATGATTGTATATTTCGTTTCCTGGCAAACAATGATTTCATTTCACATTTACATGTAGTTTTGCGTGTCCACTTGAAATGACCTGTGCAGCTTGAATGATAACCTCGTGACCTGGGGTATAAAGTCATTTAATCTATAGTCAACAGACAGATCCAAACATGTAAACAAACGACACATGCATCAACATAAAATGTATGTCGTGTTTGGGCTAGTTGCCAAGTCGTAGAAATGGCAGTAGCGGATCTAGAAGCTATGAATAGGGGTGGAGTGGGGGTCCGAATCTAGTACGCTATCCACAATCCCACCCCTCTATGAATGTCAACAAAATACTGGCTATAACACTGAGCGCCCAGGTAGAACATAGGTCACTCTGCAAACCTCAGCAGATCCCAGTAACATACAGATGTAGAGTAACGGAATCTCTGAGGTTTGCCGAGTGGAACATAGGTCGTATTGCCTATATAGTTGTTCGCCGGTCGTTATCTCGCGGAAAGCAGTTTTATTCAAGTTGACATAAAGTCCATGACATATTATGATTATTATTGATTTTGGTATTTTTTTAACTTTTAAGCCCGCGCGTGAGAAATGTTTTTTAATCTATTTAGACAAAATAATTAGTACATCTATTACGAACTAGGCCCGCGACATGCCCTCGGGCCCTGGGACCAGCAACTCCGCTTGACCTAATGTGCTTCATTAAATATGAATAAATATCAAAGTGCTCTATTGGAAATGCTCTCTTCAAGGTCCGGTATTATATCACTATGTATTCCCCAGATGCTATCGATTAGTGTAATGTGAAAGACTAGCTAAAAATATGAAGTTATTAAAAGTATATCCCTTGCGATTCCCCAGTTGTACGTGACAAGGAGTAGGGTCGCATGTCCACCCTCGTGGGTTTTCTCCGTGTCATCCGGTTTATTCCCACTGCTAAAGACCCCTACGCGCAAGCGAATTATTGAAATAAAATTGAACCATGTGTTAGTCCCGAAATTACCTGGTTTGTGTCGAGTGGACGGTTAAACCCTCTCTCTCTCTCTCCATCGATTTGAATGAGTTTTTTGAGGGATCAATGGTTTAAGGGAGACAACTACATTTAAGAAGTTTGAAGGAAAACAATTATACGGAATCAGACTGCTAATTCAGAAATGAAACAAAATGAAACATACCTTTTTCGCACCACGAAGACAGGCATACGCCATGCAGAGTAGTACGAGGGTTTCTGCATACTCTTCATGGAAATCAAACTCTCAAGACGAGGGTTTATTTTGCTGCATGCTAAAATGTGCACAGGACCTCGGTTTCTTGGTTTTCCAAACATGTCACAACCATCTGATAAACATTTTGGAAGTGTGTGTGTGTGTGTGGGGGGGGGGGGGGGAAACAAAGACCGTATCCATCTGTTTCTGCATAAGGTCAATGAACCTGTTAGGTGTGATGTTATTTGTGTAGGGGATTTCCCTATAACATATCTGATCCTTCATGAATATTCATCAAAACCTGGCAGAAAAATGAAAATTCAAACACTGACCACAAATTGCTATAAAAAGGGGTGGGGGTTAATTCAGAACATAGAAGAGGTTATTTCCCTTTAAGATTTAGGACTGTATAATCATGACATGATAAGGTGTGGAGGTTAATCCAGAAAGGGGTAGGGGCTTATCTAGAAAGGGATGGGGTTGGGTGTTAACCCAGAAAGTTGTACAGGTTATTTCCCTTTAAGATTTAGGACTGTATAATCATAGCATGATAAGGGGTGGAGGTAGGGATCTTTAGCAGTGGGAGGACCCAGAGAAAACCCACGAGGTTGGACAGGCGACCCTACTCCTTGTCACTACAACCAGGGAATCGAAACCACGCCAGTTGACTCAATGACAGACCTTATGATACAGCACACAGTGCTAACCATTCAGCCATCCACCCCTCCTCAAGTGAATGGAGATATAAGCTTTAATATTATTACAATATTGTATAGAGTGGGGGAATATCCTAGTCTGATGTCATATTGTATAGAGTGGGGACTACCCTAGTCTGATGTCATATTGTATAGAGTGGGGACTACCCTAGTCTGATGTCATATTGTATAGAGTGGGGGAATATCCTAGTCTGATGTCATATTGTATAGAGTGGGACTACCCTAGTCTGATGTCATATCGTATAGAGTGGGGACTACCCTAGTCTGATGTCATATTGTATAGAGTGGGGGAATATCCTAGTCTGATGTCATATTGTATAGAGTGGGGACTACCCTAGTCTGATGTCATATTGTATAGAGTGGGGGAATATCCTAGTCTGATGTCATATTGTATAGAGTGGGGACTACCCTAGTCTGATGTCATATTGTATAGAGTGGGGGAATATCCTAGTCTGATGTCATATTGTATAGAGTGGGGGAATATCCTAGTCTGATGTCATATTGTATAGAGTGGGGACTACCCTAGTCTGATGTCATATCGTATAGAGTGGGGACTACCCTAGTCTGATGTCATATTGTATAGAGTGGGGGAATATCCTAGTCTGATGTCATATTGTATAGAGTGGGGACTACCCTAGTCTGATGTCATATTGTATAAAGTGGGGAATACCATAGTCTGCTGTATGACATGACAAATAATGACAAAATACAATTTTTAATTTGTTCCTTACTTTTGTTTTTTTTATTTTTTATTATTAAAATGGAAAATATAATAGACAGACAGGCATAATTAATAGTTAAAATGTATATTCAAAATAAAACATTCAATATATCTACACTCCTTTATAAGTACAGATCAAAACAAAAACAATTATATGGTGTTATAACTTCTAAAATGGCTTCCAAGAAATTCAGGTGTTAAGCGGCGCATATATGTTCAATTTTTTCGTCAGTTAATTGATGGCAATTAAATGATATCAATTAATTGGCGAAACCACACACGGTCAATGTTTTAGCGTCAATTTTCATTCTGATCGAAAACTTCTAGCATACACGATCAATAAATATCAAGGGAACTTTGATCCGTCAATTAATTGATTCAATTAAATTGTTTCAATTAATTCGCCGTTAATGTCCTCCATACACGTTCTTCGTCAATTAAATGATATCAATTAATTGACAAAAAAAATTGAACGTGTTTGGGTTGCTTTAGTAAAAAAAGAATGCATGACCAAAACCAAATTTTATATCTTATGGGACGTGCAAGAACTTTATTTTAAAAAATTAAAAAAAAAAAAGAAAACATTACCAAAACCAATTTTTTTATAGGGTATGGGAAGTGCAGGAACTTTGTTTTAAAAAATTAAAAATTATATGGTGTGCAAACTTCTAAAATGGCTTATGTACAATTCAGCCATGTGTAAAAAAAACGATTTGACATAATAGGTCAATTAAATTTAAAAAAAAAAAAATTTAAAAAAAAAAAGAATACATTACCAAAACCAATTTTTTTATAGGGTATGGGAAGTGCAGGAACTTTGTTTTAAAAAATTAAAAATTATATGGTGTGCAAACTTCTAAAATGGCTTATGTACAATTCAGCCATGTGTAAAAAAACGATTTGACATAATATGTCAATTAAATTTTAAAAAAAAAAAATGAATACATGAAAACCCCCCAAAGAGAGTGCAGGAGCTTTTGTCAAAAAAACCCCTCACAAAATGAACACTGATATGGTGTTAAAACTAGCTTATAAAATTCATGTATAAATAGTTTGACATATAATGTCAAATTTAATTTATAAATAAGACTCGAAAACATGACAAAAATCAAATTCTAATAACTTAAAAGGGACCTCGATGAATATTAAAAGTTTCAAAATAGCAAACTACATAAAATCAAGACAAGAGAATATGCAAAAAATAGAATTTATAACAATTAACAATGAAAATAGTATTACTGGTAAGCATATGTACAAATATATATATCTATGTCTATTCTAAATATATCTATCTATATACTATGTAAGTAATTAAAATATATAAACTTGTATATCCAGGATATTTTATATAAAATTTTTAGTACAATGTTTCACAATATCATTAAATAATATGTTAAAACTTTATAAACAATATACATAAAGTGTTAAATAAACCAAGAACACAAAAAAAACTTTCGCCATTTTGAGAATACCTTAAAGTTGCAATTTCATATTTTTACGTTATATTTTTAAAATTTATTAAAATAAAGCCTTAAAATAGATGGTATCTATAAACAGTCCTACCTTGTTAAAGAATAATCCTATTAATCCTATAATTCACTATTGCCAGTTGAGAAATTGGCAAAAATATCATTTTCCTCTTCAAATTCAAACGTTTGAAAAAAGCTACTCCATGGTGGAGAATAGAAAACAAGGGAGGTAATTCGGAGGTAATTGTGTTATTATTTCCAGTGTAAATGAGTTTTAAGTGTGAGAATGACACCTATGATTGTATAATAGTGAGTTGACAACCTATTGAGCAAAAGACATAGAAATAATTATGTTTTGACTTTCTTAGAAAATATGAAATTGTAACTTTAATAAATCCTCACTATATACATTCTCAGAAACCTGTGTGGACTACGTATCTGATAACAAAAGATCTTTTCTCTTTCTGAATAATGGATCTTGTGTTTAACTTGTGTTCCATTCTTTAATGCTGTTTAAACAGTATATATTATTGGCTATACCAGTGATTCTCAACCAGTGTGCTGCGGCACACAGGTGTGTCGCGAGACCTTCCTAAGTGTGCCGCGCAATTTAGAACGACGCACTAAGAAAATGCGAAAAACCATGTGATCCCAAATGAGTATTCACTGGTGTTTAATAGTAGGTTGATAGCTGTGGTTTTCTTTATTTAGTTTGAGTTACTCTATGTGTCTATGACTAGTCTGTGTCTACGGTTGTATTCCGTCTGACTTACCATGTTTTTATTTTGCAAAATTCAGATATTTTTCATATATATTTAGCCAGGTGTGCCGCTATAGTTTTTCACGTGTTCTAAGGTGTGCCGTTGGCAAAAAAAGGTTGAGAACCACTGGGCTATACATTAGGTATTTTATTTATCAAGTCACGAGAAAATAAATGTTTTCCAGTGCTGGGTTAAATTTTTCCGCCAATAAAGTAATTTTTCTCAACAAAATAATTATATAATCAGAGTTTCTGAGTTAAACTTTTCTGCCAATAAAGTTATTTTACTTAACAAAATAATTATTAGAGTTTCTGAGAATTATCACAATCATATAAATATAAAAAATTAACCAACTCTATAAAATAGAGATTCTGCTTGGCATAAAATAAAAATTCATAAAATACAAAAAACATAGAGATACATGTAGTATAAAATAAAATTCAGCAGTAGATGTAGTATTTCAGATTCTTATTATATCTTTTAATATTAGCTTCTTTATTACAAAAAACAAGAAAGAACAATAGCTGTCGTTTGATTTCAACACGGGCCTTATTCCTATGGAGTGGAATTCTTGACACAATTCTAACTGTTAATCTAGTAAAAGTATTAATGCCAATAGAGCAAAATACAAATTCTATGTACAATATTTAAGAAATCTATATAAATAATATCATGTTCGCCGATCACGTTTCGTTGCCGCGATCAACCCCCACATATGTGGTATTAAATTAACCTGTGAATATTTTAGGCCATTGAATTTGGGCCCTGGGGAAACTGGACATGGGCCACGGGGGAATTACATTCCGCGGCCACTCTCCCCCCCCCCCCATATGTGGTATAAAATTAAGCAGCATGGCGCCATGAATGTTTCAGGCCATTGAATTTGGGCCCCCGATGAATTTATGTCCCAGACAAATTTGGACCCTGGACAAATTTGAGCCCCGGACAAACTTGGGTCTCAAGCTAATTTGAGCCCCAGGCAAATTGGGCCCCTGGTGAATTTGAGCACCATGTGAATCGGGGCGCCAGATGAAACCAGGTATCCCGCTGGTTAGTAAGTAATTAGTAATTAGTATTTTTACATGTGTAAATAGCAAATTTACTATATAATAGTAAATGCAGAAGACTGCACCACACACAACTATTACACAAGACAAACCTAAGGACAGGAACAATATACACAGACATCACAAACAACAAACACAAATATCAGATCATGTAAAAGGGTAAGCATATTAGTACAGATAGGTAAAAAGTTAGAATTATGTCGTGAATTCTGCTCCATAGAATCCCATATATTTCAAATATAATACTGGGTTATTTGACCTTGTCATGATCGAATAAAACATTCTCCCATAAAGTGCTGCCATCTTTTAGTTGTTTAATGTTAGAAATATGAAATGATGGAGCATTCTTGTCTTCAGCCTAAGAAAAGAGAAGAAAGGTATTATGTATATGGTAGCATTTCAGGGTACAAATAACTAGCTTTGAGAACAGTGGCTAAAACAGAGAGAGGGGAGAGAGAGAGAGAGAGAGAGAGAGGGGAGAGAGAGAAAGAGAGAGAGACTCTGGATGTAAACATTCTGTAAAATATAAAGAGTGAGAGAGAGAAAGAGAAATTGGGTTTCACCCCCACTCACACAAACTAGGTCATTTCGGGACTAACATATGGTTCAATTTTATTTCAATAATTTCCTGCGCGTAGGGGTCTTTAGCAGTGGAAGGAAATCAGAGGACCCGGAGAAAACCCACGAGGTTGGACAGGCTACCCTACTCCTTGTCACGTACAACCGGGGAATCGAAACCACGCCAGTTGACTAAATGACAGGCCTTATGATACAGCACGCACACGCTAACCATTCGGCCATCCAATCCCCCACACTTAAAGGATAACTTTGCCATCTACCAATTTTACTATGTGATAGAATTGGTTAAACATTTTCCAAATATAATTTTAAAATATAGACCTTCGCTACAGTTCTCTATGTCAGTCAGTAAATATTAAGTCATTTCCATCAAATATGTAAAATCGATGGACGGCAACAATGCCCTTTCACTGTATCATAGCCTGCATTGAAACTTAATTATAATAAAGTTGTAGATTAAAAACAATAAATCTCTTACCTGAAGATCAGTGATCAGTTCCATAATAACAGAGGCCATATAGTCACACTGCTCTGATTTAAAAGGGAGAATACTCTTTGCATTGTTCAGTTTTAAATGTAAATAAAAAGTTAGTGTTCTCTCCTCCGAGTTCAACTCCCAGCTATATATTTCATACCATTGAGCAGACAATGTGACATCACCTGTTTCTACAACAATCAAAGTAATCGAGAAATTGAGAAATAATTTATAGAGAGAGAAATCGGGTTTAACATCCACTCAATGAAAAGGAACCTGTTTTACAACAATGAAAATAATCACGTAATAATGAGAAATAATTTATGGAGAGAGAAATGGGGTTTAACATCCACTCTCCGAAAACTAGGTCATTTCTGGTTATTTTAACAATTTGCTTGCGTATAGGGTTCTTTAGCAAGTGGGAGGAAGTAGAGAAAACAGATGAAGATGGGATGATGACCCTACTCCTTGTCACATACAAGCGTGGGATCAAAACCACACCACTTGACTCAATCACAGACCTTATGAGCTAAAGGCTTCAGCTACTTCAAATGTCACAGAAATAAATGAAGAGCCCCAGGGAAGAATAATCTAAGTCCCTTTTTCAACAAACCCCAGTTAATGGTGCCATCTAGTAGCAAATTGTATACACTTTTTGAGGAACAATCAATTTAAGGTAAAAATGATCAAAGTCACATCGAAGCAAGGCCCTTCTGAAATGGCCTCCCGGACAAATATGTCCATCGTACCCTTTATTTGAGCTTAATTTGGCTGAAAAGTGGAAGTCAGTTGTTGTACTGGTAATTATGATTCGTATTAAACATCATTTTGAAGTTGTAATTAAACCCACTTGTTGTTCTGTTTGTGTCAACTAGTGTCAAGCATTCTCGTCCAAAGGTCTATTTTGCCTTTTATGCAAAAAGACAAAAATGTGACTTAGATCATTCTTCCCCTGGACTCTTCAAATATTATAAACACCAAAAATTACAATTTTCAAATTTCCATCTAAAATTTCCAAAAGATTTTTTTTTGTTTTACTTTATAGAAACTTTAAAGATTTAATGTGAGCTGGTAAGTGCAAAGGTTTTGTGATGGGTATGAGTTTATTGAATGGAGTTTAATAAAGAAAAAAAGATTAACTAAAGAAATAAAAACTAACCTGAACTAATTTTTAAACCATTTATTGATAAATTAACACTATATAAACTATCAGAGGGTAACTGAAAAATTCAACAAACTTTCTAATGCAGATGGGAATTGGTGTCAATTTTATGAACAATGATTAGAATAATTGACAGAGGATAATTATTAAAATTTAAATCAAGGAAACAAATATTCCATTGAAATTATCTGTCTTTTGTAACAAGTAATGGTATATTATATGAACCGGCAACTGACTATGATGTCATTGAAGCCATCTTGGAATTTTTACATCATTTCAAATATCGAAGTCCTGCAATCGATGCCGAGATATCTTTATATTGCACCTGTAAAACGTCGCCTTTTATAACATTAGCAGGCTAGATTCCATACTTATATAAAGTCTTACATTCGATGCGCAATTGTCCAAAGAACTAGCCTACATAATTTCATGTCGATTGCATTCTTAATTGGCAACGTCCTGGACCTTTTTTGAAATGAAATGGTGTTTAACGTCCTACTGTTCTGCTCCTATACTGGGCTAATGAAGACGGACATACGCCATACAGTGTGCTATGAGGGAAATTTTGCCTGGGCAGCGGCACTATGGCCTACTCTTATATCGAATTACAACTGTCAAGGGATCTTTTTACGTGCACGCCAATGTATACACGGGACCTCGGTTTCTCGTTTTCTCCAGTTCTATCACATATGTGATAATAACTGACACCAATACTGTCCTTTAAGCTGTGAGAATTTATTCTAAGGAATTGCAACTGTTAAAGAAATGTAACAACCATGATGTCATTAACTAATCAAATCAATAAATGTTTTTTGGTTTATTTATTTTTAAACAAATACTTACTAGCGTTGTTTTAACACGCTTGTCTGGTACTATCTGACAGGAATCTACTGTTACTGTACAATAATCTGGCAATGTCTGACAAATAGATAAATACTGATCGATAGCCAGAAACTCTGGATGTAAACATTCTGTAAATATAATTAAAACATTCATAAATATTCCCAGAGCCAGAACGTCTAGATGTAAACACTCTGTAAAACATAATTAAACATACATTATGCAAGAGCTAAATCTGTCTATTGCAGGTCTTTCTTTAGGCCCGAAATGTTATCTAAATTATTAATTAGACATTAATTAACCTATCCAGGACATAATCAACTCTCGATGGCATCCCTAGCCTGTGATCTTTCGTGGATTATGAGCCGATTTACTACATAACTTTCCTTCACGATTGAACGATTAAATGGATATTTGAGACTATGCTGTTTATCGTACTGACTTTAGTAATGATGATTGAGGCTAGGCGGAAATTTCAATCACTTAATTCTCGGATCATAGTGGATCAATTTGAATGAAATTTTCAGCAAATTGCCTTTACATTATCTAGTTTTTAACTATTATATTGAGGTCTGCCAACTCGTTATCGAATCTCCCATAATGTGTCTTTAAACATTCATAAATATTCCAATTTGACTGTTCTTTCATTTCTTTTTCTTTTTTATGTGGTTTACATTCATAGGAAATAACAATTCGATTAAAACACAGATTCTTTTTCGTTTCGGTTTTTATAGTTCAAAATTTCGTTTTACATTGCACTTGTCTTTACTACACTAGGATCTGGATCAGTTGTTATATAACCCGCTTTCTGGATGATGTGCCGGATGAGCCAATGAACGGGTCTTATACCGCGAGTTTTTAGTGTGAGGTGCACAGAACTGTGGATAATCCACTAAAAACAACCACGCCGATTGATTAATCATATGTCTGATGTCATAGGGTCAAAAGCCACTCGTATGACCTCTGACTCAACCTTCCACAACAACCGGTCAGATTGAAAGTATAAAAAAAATGAAACGGAATATAGATCTGTATGTTAATCAGATTGTGTCAGGGTGAAATTTCACACATAGTACACTGTATTGTACAAGCCTGTCTTCATAAGCCCAGTAGGTGCTGAAATGTAGAGAGAGAGGGGGAGGGGTAACGTCCACTCGACACAAACTAGGTCATATCGGGACTAACATATGGTTTAATTTTTTATTTCTATAATTCGCTTGCGCGTAGGGGTCTTTAGCAGTGGGAGAAAACCGGAGGACCCGGAGAAAACCCGCGTGGTTGGACAGGCGACCCTACTCCTTGTCACGTACAACCGGGGATTCGAAACCACGTCAGTTGACTCAATGTCAGGCCTTATGATACAGCGCGCACGTGCTAACCATTCGGCCATCCAACCCCCATCTGTGAAGTTTGAAGATCAAAAATAGTTTCCTACCTTCTAAATTCTGAATATGTTCTGCTGTGGGTTTAAGTTTACCTAGAGAAAATCAAATTAAAATGATAAATAGTTCTACTTCTTGTTTGATAGAATTTTTGATAGGTTGCCAGTTGTCTGCAGGGGGAAATTGACAGAATGCTAATTTATTAAACATATATAATGCAAGAGCTAAATCTTCCTATTGCAGGTCTTTCTTTAGGCCTGAAATGTTATCTAAATTATAAATTAGACATTAATTAACTTATCCAGACCATAATCAATTCTCGATGGCATCGATGGCATTGCTAGCCTGCGATATTTACTGGATTATGATTCCATTTGCTGCTCGACTTTCATTCATAATTTAATCATGAAATGGATGATCGAGACTATGTTTTTTATCGTACAGACTTTAGTAATGATGATTGAGGCTAGGCCGAAATTTCAATCGCTTAATTCTCGGTTCATAGTGGATCAATTTGACTGTAATTTTCAGGAAATTGCCTTTACATTATCTAGTTTTTAACTATTATAGTGAGAACTGCCAGCTCTTTATCTTATCTCCCATAATTTATCTTTAATTAAAGACAAAACAACCTCCATATCAGATTGTGTATGATTGAATTTAACTTTAAACTAGATATTGAATAAAATATTTAAATAAAAAACAACTGAACAAGGGGCGTGTGCAGAAAAATGATCACGGGAGGGGGGTGGGGGGGCCTGTTCCGGTGTGATTGACCGTGGAGCATGGAGAGTGGTATGGGGCTTCTCCCCCAGAAAATTTTAAATGTTTGAAGTTGATTTCCTTTCATCTGAGGCCATTCCTGTAGGAATCTTTTTCTTTTAAATGTATAGACTCTCTCCTGGATCTTTCCTGTATGGGCTCTGCATGAGTGGGGGGGGGGCACATTCCACACACCCCCGGACCCTCCCCACTGAAAACATATGCATATGTAAGACTTGTGGTTCAAAAAAGTTGGTCTTCTTTTTAACAACATGTCTCTTCTCTGAGTCCATAATTGGTTTACTTCAGAGAGAGAGAGAGAGAGAGAGAGAGAGGAATGGGGTTTAATGTCCACTCAACACAAACTAGGTCATTTTGGGACTAACACATGGTTCAATTTTATTTCAATAATTCACTTGTGTGTAGGGGTCTTTAGCTGTGGTAGAAAACCGGAGGACCCGGAGAAAACCCAGAAGGTTGGACAAGCAAACCCTACCCCTCGTCACATACAACTGGGGTATCGAAACCACGCTGGTTGACTCAATGACTATTTCTTTATTAATTTAGTACACCTTATGTTTACCTGAAGCTATATCATGTTTCGCTTGTAAAAAGAAAAGTTCAGCAACTACTGGGTCAGCTACTAACTTCTTCTCTGTTTTCAGGTTAAAACACCATTTTTGGAAGCAAAGACCTAAAAAAATAAAACATAGGCTACACATGGCATAAATCTATCATAATTTCTAATTCATTAAAATGACAATCTGATTAACCGTTTCGACACCGACACCCTGTCCAACATTAGGCCTATATACTAGCCTCCCTGGGTAAAAATGGACCCAAAATTTTTTGGGGAATATTATAAAACCTTAGAATACCAAGCAGTCGGAATATTAGCCTGTTTGATACTGAATGGTACTCCAGCCAAGGAGCATTCGAGTCAGTCTTTTGGCTGCTCGGGTACAAAGGGTTAAAATACAGAAATTTATAATTTGTTTGATATTTTTGACAAATACAATTTTGAAATCTAAAAAGGGAAAATAATTGGGTTTTGTAGTTTCATATTTTTTAGACAAATAAAATGAAATTTTGAACAATAAAAAGTGATAAGGAACGAAATGTAATCTGTATTTTAATCATTTTGCTAATACGGACATAATGATGGGTTTTCCCCTTTTAAAGATATACCAATATAAGTATCAGCCCAATTTCCTAATAAATAAGGAATTTATATAGTTACAATGGAGAAATGAACAAAGTCAACAAAAGGATGGTTTAAAAACTGTGCAACTTTTAAATCATTCTACAGTTTTGTTTCAGCTGGTATTCAGAGGTCAGGTTAAACTTTTCTTGCCTTTAAATGGTGAAGCATAATGCCTTAATGGAGGAACAGACTCGGGTAAAAATACATTTTTCTTGGAAACTAAATAATTAATTTGATTTTAAATGTCCCTTTAATGGATATAGCAAAATCGATAATCAACAAATGTTACCATGGAAATTGTTTTGATTACATGTACAGATTTCCACCTCAACTTATAAATAATCCATTGATTCTATAATGACCTTAGTAACCTTGACCTACCTTTAATAGGTAAAATGGCCTTAGTAACCTTGACCTACCTTTAATAGGTAAAATGAGCCAATCAGCTGGCTTATATTTCTTCACAGGCTGATCACCACCAGAGATAATACAAAAATATTTCTTATATTTTTCCCTTAAACCTGAAATAATTAATGATCCTTGTTACAGCTCAAAATGAAATGTTCTTATAAGCATATAGGACTAGGTCATTTCAGAGTGAAATGTAGTATTTTTATTTGTTTGGTTATGCGTTATATATACTTCTGGGTTTTAATTAGTTGAGTCATTCAAAACATGGCATTTTACTGTAAAATCGACTTTCATCTTCGCAATGTTGCATTTTCTTTGAGGTCTCTGTATCATCCAAAAGCTGAGATGGGGTTTAACTCCATTGGACAAAAACTAGGTCATTTCTGGACTAACATGGTTCAATTTTATTTCAACAATTTGCTTGTGCATAGGGGTCTTTAGCAGTGGGAGGAAACTGGAGGACCTGGATAAAACCCACGAGGCTGGACAGGCAACACTACTTCTTGTCACATACAACCGGGGAATCCAAACCACGCCAGTTGACTCAATGACAGACGTTATAATGCAACATGCATGCACTAACCATTCGGCATTCGGCCATTCAACCCCACTAAGTTTGCATAGAAATACCAGTTACATTAAGCTAGCGAACTTAACTCTGCATCTGAAGGCAAATCAGTGGCGAAACATTCAGCTTGAATTCACCTCAGTCCTGCTAATTTATAAAGGTAGCTTTAAAAAGTTCACCTAGCTAACCTAACATTCAGAACAGGTGAGGAATTGCCAGCTTATCTACCTATGTGCATGAATTCTTTCTGGGCAAAATAGCAGCCTTTTGTAGGATACATATATATATATTTTTTTTTCCATATAAACAATATTTCATTCTCAGAAACGGATGGTATAGATAAAACTATCACATCTGACCGACATATCATCAGTCAGAATAGTTCAGCTGGCTAATTAGTCAAAAGTCTATGTGAAACACAACCGTCTCTTAATGTACATGTATGTATAATTCCTGAGAATATTATATGCTGGCTCATCTTTTGTCACCTGAATGGTATATATCACTTAAACATGCATTATGCAAGAGCTAAATCTGCCTATTTCAGGTCTTTCTTTAGGCCTGAAATGTTTTCTAAAGTATTAATTAGACATTAATTAACTGATCCAGGCCTTAATCAACTCTCGATGGCATCAGATTTCTCTGATATTAAATAGATTAGAATGGTTCAGCAATACTTTGATTTAATCAAATATGGAGGACCGAGACATAGCTTCGATCAACCAGTACGGTGGTTGAAATTATTGCACATGTCTGTCAAACCTTCAAAGGCTAATATCTTTGCTTGCAATAGAGTAATTTGAATGAAATTTTCAAATTATTCATTTTACATCATCTACTTTCGAACTATTATAACAAGAATGGCTAGCTCTTTATCTAAATCTTACATAATGTATCTTTAATGAAAATAACCAACAGTAACAGTAATATACAATTACTGTAATCTACTACAGTAGGCCTACCTTTGATTTCACAAATTTTCTTCAGGATACTATCTACTTTTACTTCATCATCAACCGTTTGAACTGTCACCTAAAAATGTTCACAACAAAGTATTATCAAAAAAAGATAATTTCAGTGTAGATCTACAACTTTATCTTAATCAAACAGTACAGAAATGGTGGTCCGTGCCATACATTTATCATATTCCTGAGGGAGTGTGTATATTCTTCCCCTTCAATCAAATCTATCCCAAGTACAGAAACTTGACAGCCCTTTGTTTAATCTGGGGTCTTCCCTAAAACTTTGGACAGTGATTTAAGATATTAAAAACGGTGAAAGTATTCTTCGTCTCCATACGGTATTGTTTAAATTTTGTATCCATGTTGATAGCCTCGTTTGTCACACAATTAGTTTTTCTGCAATAGTCTGCTATGCACTGGTTAATTGGGTGTTATGTGTTATGAAGGCCTAACCATATTTGGTCCAATTTGGAATTCTGTTTAAAGCGTAATGATATTGTTAATGTTACACAGTTAGCTATTGGATGTTAATCGGACTATTGACCAGTCATAATTTGGAACAGAAATTTGCTTCCTTTACAGCAGTGTTACTGTTATTAAGTGGGATTAGCTCTAATCAAACGAAACACTGCCAGGAGTATAGAATAGTAGGCCTACATTTAGACTTTCTGCAAGTTGTATAAGGATGGACAATTTTCAAATAATTGGCATCCTGTCTTATTCATTAAACGAAGAAAATGTTTATTAGTATTAAAAAGAATAAAACAGGATGCCAATTATTTTGTAAATACCATGGACCACATAATACATGATTACATAATGAATTCAGTTACCTTGAGGGGTGCGTCTGTGTTTCCAATGTCCCATACATGAACGACAGCTAAATTTTGCAGTTCAGTACCGGTAACCTCCATATTTTTTAGGCCAAGGCAGAAACGCGTTAAATAATCTAATTCATTCTTCTATTACATGTAATTACCATAAAGAAATATAGAAGACTGATTTCTATTGACATCAATTACAATCACGGCCCCTTATATCTTTAATAATTATATTAGCTATTTAAGTAAATTTAGAATTATTGCCTGGACGTTATCTATTGTACTTCTAAATAAGAGATAAAAAAAACGTGCATTTTTCTTGCATCTTTTAATATACTATAATAAGGTTAACAAAATGCACCCTTTTTTTTATTGATGTATGGGGTGTGGTATATTCAAGGGAGAAGACTCTTACCTCTCCTCCATTTCCGGTCAATTTTTCCGAGTTTGGATTGTATCGTGGCAAAATGTTTGGAGATTGTGTCCTAATTGTTGCAATTTCAATATGTACAGCACTTTTAGGAGAAGGTGATAATTTCATTTAGAGACCAAAGACTTTTTTTTTTTTTTTAAATATTATGCAAGGGTAGATCTATAACATGATTTCTGGCCCACGTTCCACACTTTAGACTACTTTCCAAATTCCACATGCATGGGCCATGGTCATCTTCATTGAGTGACTGACGTCTAATATTTATCTTCATCAATTTCAATATGAATGACAATGTCATACCGTATATAATTAGGCCTACAATGTAGCCAATATGATTGCACATGATCATGGATTCAGCCTCATAGTCTAGTATATCATTGTTAAAATAACAGATCTAGAATAGTTATACTTTATATTATCATCATTGGTGAAGGATGAATGGAGACGTTTGAAGTAGGGGTTTCAGGTCAAAGTTTTAAATGACAGAAATTTTTTTTTTAAAAAATAGTTTGTGAAAATATACATAAAATGCTACCCCAAATTTTTTATTTCATCAAACTTTTCTAATTAGATCCAAAGGTATGGAATTTTAAAATTCGAGATCGACGTCAATAATGTAATCAAAATGCTCTATACCAGTCAATGCGTGCCATGGCACTAAAATAAGTGCTTTTCAGTCATAACTGACAGACGTCATAAGCGATATTTTCCATTCAGAATCGCTAGTACCAATTTTAAAACTCAAATCCGCACATTATAGTCAGCTAAAATTTATTAAAATCAGAATAATTTGAATGATATTATGTCAAATATTTATAATCTGGATGATGCCACAAAAAAAGTAGGCTATATTTAGTCGAAATTTAGCGAATTCCAGTCAGCAAAACAGAAACATCCCGATTTCTACGGCTGTAATTGTAGTAGCTCGGGGTATCACGCACCATAATAATCACAAAAATGTCATCTATCGTTTGATTGGTTCTATGTGGAAATCCCCTGGAAATTAAGATGCGGATTCACCAATGAAGTGAGTCGTAGCAATGGAAAATCCTCGGCCGCGTGACGTCGGAGTGGCATTTTCCCACAAGCGTCTCCTGTACATAAATGGTAATTTGGCTTACATTTCGATAATTTTTGAGCCTGAATCTTTGCAGATATCGAGATTGATATTAAACTATTACAATACAATTGCTAGTAATGCATTTAAATAAAAAAGTAATTCAGAATCGTAGATTGAAGCAGGCTATATTTCAGCACCTGGCTATCAGATTTCACGCTAAAATCACATGACCTGAAACCCCTATTTGAAGGAGTTTAACTAGGAAAAGTCACTAAGTATCTAGTAGTAGTACTCTAGTCTGTCGGATGGGATAAGAAAAACGAGTTCCAGTGTATGGCATTGGCGAGAAATTAAAGATCATCTGATAGTTGAACTCAAAATAAGAGTATTCTGTAGCGCTTCTGTCAGTGCAAATACAGATTGGGTTTAGAATATATATTTGGCAGAGTCTGGTCCAGCATCCTATAAGATACTCACATCCATTTCCCCAGATTTTATTAATATTTGAATGTATTTTATATGTAGGCCTATTAGTTTGCTAAAATTTTGGCACAGTTTTACGGTAGAATGACTATTGCTTAAAGATACATTATTGTAAGAGCTGGCCGTTCTTACTATAATAATACATGCGGTTTAAAAATAGATAATGCAAAATGAATATATTGAAAATTCCATTCAAATGACGTTATACTGAGGGAACATATTATCCTTTGAAAGAGAGAGAGAGAGAGAAATGGGGTTTAACGTCCACTCGACACAAACTAGGTCATTTCGGGACTAACATATGGTTTAATTTTTATTTACATAATTCGCTTGCGCGTAGGGGTCTTTAGCAGTGGGAGGAAACCGGAGGCCCCGGAGAAAACCCACGAGGTTGGACAGGCGACCCTACTCCTTGCCACATACAACCGGGGATTCGAAACCACGCCAGTCGACTCAATGACAGACTTTATGATACAGCGCGCGCACGCTAACCATTCAGCCATCCAACCCCCCTTTATCCTTTGAAGGTTTGACAAAATGTGTGCACAGATTGTAACTACATGCACCTTATTAGTTGCTCAAAGCTTAGCCTTGCCTTACCATTTTTAGATTAAATCATTAAATGTGTGAACAGTTCTAATCTAATTAAAATCAAACCTATCAGATGGCATCAAGACATGATTATGGTCTTTTCTTGTTAATAAATGTCTAATTAATAGTTTATATAACATATAAGGCCTAAAGAAAGACCTGCAATAGATAGATTTAGATCTTGCATAATGCCTTTTTAATCAATAAATCTAATTTAGATATCAAATAATTCAACACACTGAAAAAAAAACTTAACTTCAATATGCCTATCTACTTTTATGCTTAGATATCAGTAAGGACCTTTATTTTGTTATCAAGAGTACTGTAGGCCTACTTATGATAAATGTCAATGGGGGGGGGTCGATGGCCGAGTGGTTAGCATGCACTGTATCATAAGGTCTGTTATTGAGTCAACTGACATGGTTTCAATTCCCCGGTTGTATTTTACATGGAGTAGGGCCACCTGTCCAACCTCTGGTTTCCTTCCACTGCTAAAGACCCCTATGGGCAAGCGAATTTTTGAAATATAATTGAACCATATGTTAGTCCCAAAATGACCTAGTTTGTGTCAAATGGACCCCATTTCTCTCTCTCCCTCATAAATGTCATGTCATCATATTCTATATTTTCATAGGGTTAACATGGTTATTGGTTTATAGAACTGAAAAATACAAAAAGTTGAAGGCTGAGGTTGAAAAACAGAGTAAAAAATGTAAGTTGATTTCTTTATGATAAATTTAAATACCGAGCTCATGTCTACAGTGCATGGACATTGATACAAGACAGTGGCAAGAATGGCATACCGATTCCTTACGATATGACAATTTGCTTCCTTTACATATATTTGAAGATGTGCATCACAGATTCATTTTGTATTTCAGTCTACTTACACTATTTTCTGGCTATTCATAACAAAACACAACACAACACAAGGTATGAATACAACTACTTCTCTATTATTTAATAACGACGTTTCGTAACACATACAGGTCACGTTTTCAAGTTAATGATAAATATCCATCTAGTCAGCCTATTTATACATATTTTAGCTTACACCAACTTAATTAATGATCAGAAGAAAACCATTAAAATAATTAGAAGCACCTACAATAACAATAAATAATAAATGGATGGATATTTATCATTAACTTGAAAACGTGACCTTTATGTGTTACGAAACGTGGTTATTAAATAATAAAGAAGTAGTTATATCCTTATATACCTTGTGTTTTGTTGTGTTGTGTTGTGTTGTGTTATGAATAGTTAACCATGCTTCTAGGTGTCATTTAAAGAATTATTTTCTGGTTGTTTTATTTCAGTGGAAAAGCAAAAAGAAATAGGTGGAGATGTATCTAATAAGAAAAAATTTGGTAAGTTTAAAGAAACCAGCAAATTTAAGGAGACTGTGAGAAGATATCTGACAATTTAGAAAAAGAATCGACTGTCACTAGATCAGAGAAGGAATTATCAGTGAGCAGAAATTCGACCGTGTATCTGTTATCACTCGTCACTTCAGTCAGTTATATAGAATGATAATACATGTTTTCCTTTTGCTTTGGTCACTTGAAATTTTCGTTAGGAATCTATCTAGCAATGATCTCTGTGTTAAAATTATATTTGGAACGCGTTTAATCAGTTCTATCACATTTGTGGTAATGGCTAACACCAGTATTGTCCTTTAAGGAGGGAGCCACGGTGGCTAAATGGGTAAGATGCTGGCTCGCTAGCCTGGAGGTTGCGTGCTCGGTCCATGCATTTACCGAGAAAGTTCATCAGGATTTTCCAACATGGTTTCCCTTTTGTCAGTGGTGCAGGACAGCGGGCCTGACAAAGACAGGTGTCTAGTCGTTCGGATGGCACAAAAAACCGAGGTTCCGTGTAGACATAGCATGTACGTGAAAGATCACTTGGCAGTTGGAATTCGATATAAGAGTAGGCCGTAGTGCCGCTGCCCGGGCAGAATTTCCCTCTTTGCACACTGTATGGCATATGCCCGTCTTCATTAGCCCAGTTTTGAAAAACAAGAAATACCAAGTGTATGGAACTAGTTCCTGGTTCAACTATACCACCAGCTGACTGAATTCATTTCACCTGTTTGTTTTTACATTTCAGAGAGACAAGAAGAAAAATTAAAAACCAATAACAGAGATTTATCTTTTGTAAGTATGTAAAGAAAGTTTTAAAGCAACAGGGTGTCTCATTAGCCAAATGATATAATGCTTGTACTTAAAGGGGAAGACCAACGATTTTCAATAAGGTTTCCATAAATAATAAATATATATTTAGAAATAATCCCTCCTATAACATATGCAAAAAATAATTTGTAAGCGAGAAATTAATTTTTATTAATACCGGAAGTGACGTAGTTGGTTTGACACGCTCACTGGTCACTATAGTAAACATACAAATTTGGAGTAAGTTTAGCGCTGTATTTTGTGATAAAGATTACCTTTCATCAGATTTTCTGCCAAACGGCGAAACGACCACAAAATACAGCGCTAAACTTGCTCCAAATTTGTATGTTTACTATAATGACCAGTGAGCGTGTCGAACCAACCACGTCACTTCCGGTATTAATAAAAATTAATTTCTCGCTTGCAAATTATTTTTTGCATATGTTATAGGAGGGATTATTTCTAAATATATATTTTTTATTTATGGAAACCTTATTGAAAATCGTTGGTCTTCCCCTTTAAGATCATAAATCAATTGTTCGGTTAGTGTCGATCCCAGGTTTTTTATATGGCAAGAGTTCGTCAGTTTTCTCCCACTGCAGAATGACTCTAATGTGCTTGAGTGAATTATTGAATTAATATTTATGTTTATTCCAAAATGACCTAGATTTTATTAATTTTTCACTCTTTAAAGGGAGACAATCCAGACTAGGTGTCTTTTATTTAAAAGATCCCCTTTAACCTGTTAAGCGTGACGTTTTTAAAACGTTAACTACCCCCTAGTGTGTAATTAATTTGACGAAGAACTATGTACTATGTTCTAAGAATAGGTTGGGGAAAATACCTCTAAGGCGTTATATTACGCCCTACACACAGTGAGTGGCAGTTGTCCAGGACGTTATATAACGACCTACGCTCTTAACAGGATAAAAGATCAAACACTTATAGGTGGCGCTGGATTGTTTGTATGGTTGGATGTTGCAACATTTTAATTCATCATATCTTTATAAATACTGAACAGAATTGACTGATATTCCTTATAAAGAATCAGGGGGGGGGGGGGGGGTGGATGCAGTCGTTGTTGTTTGTATTTTAGAGGAGAGCCGAAAAAATCTCCCCTCAATTAAAGATACATTATGTAAGATTTAGATAAAGAACTAGCCATTCTTGCTATAATAGTTTGAAAGTAGATGATGTAAAATGAATAATTTGAAAATTTCATTCAAATTACTCTATTGCAAGCAAAGATATTAGCCTTTGAAGGTTTGAGAGACGTGTGCAATAATTTCAACCACCGTACTGGTTGATCGAAGCTAAGTCTCGGTCCTCCATATTTGATTAAATCAAAGTATCGCTGAACCATTCTAATCTATTTAATATCAGAGAAATCTGATGCCATCGAGAGTTGATCTAAGGCCTGGATCAATTAATTAATGTCTAATTAATACTTTAGAAAACATTTCAGGCCTAAAGAAAGACCTGCAATAGGCAGATTTAGCTCTTGCATAATGCATGTTTAACAAATTGAAAAAATCGCTCCCCTTAAAAAGCTCTCCCAGTTTCGATAAGAAGAGTGATTTAGAAATTAAGGAGAGTGATCTGATATTAAGGAGAGTGATTAGTTGTGTGTATGGGAAATGATTCTGAAGATCAATAACTGCATGTTAGAGAGTCATTCGTCTTAAAAAACAATGACTGGTTGGATGGCCGAATGGTTAGCGTGTGCGCATTGTATCATGGGGTTTGTCATTGAGTCAACTGGTGTGGTTTCGATTCCCTGGTTGTATGTGACAAGGAGTAGGGTTGCCTGTCCAACCTCATGGGTTTTCTCCGGGTCCTCCGGTTTCCTCCCACTGCTAAAGACCCCTACACGCAAGCAAATTATTGAAATAAAATTGAACCATATGTTAGTCTCGAAATGACCTAGTTTATGTCAACATTGTAGTTAGCAAGGGATTAAAAATCCTCCAAATGATGATCAGTTGTTTTAAGGCCTATATTTAGATTTTAATATGTATATACATGTAATAAGGACTTGGATCACTCATTTGTTTGGTGTTATTTCAGGTGAAAATGAAGTCAATGTTTGCTATTGGTTTTGCATTCACAGCTCTCCTTAGTATGTTTAACTCTATGTAAGTATATCCACATATTTTTGTAATAATTTATTTGTTTATTCAAGCTTTGTTCTATTTATGTTATATGTATATATATATATATATCTGTTAAAATGTTTTTCATCTTTCTGTCAACCCTTTTGGAACACGATAACTCTGCTGATAATTTCGGCAAGCGAATTATTGAAATAAAATTGAACCATATGTTAGTCCCGAAATCACCTAGTTTGCTCAATACTTCATGAAAAGATATTTATTTTGTGATTGTTGCTAATGCTGACTTCTTTAAAATGTGTTCAGTCATTTGACTATTTTTAAATATACTCAAGATCCATTATCTATTTTTAAACTAATATAGCAAGAACGATCAGCTCTTTATCTAAATTTTACCAATCTGTTTAAAATACAGATCTATATTTCGTTTCGTTTTGATATACTTTCGATGGCCTACACTACATGAAGATCTGAACGGTTGTAGTGGAATGTTGCGGAATGTTGCGTCAAAGGTCGTACAAACAGCTTTTGACCCTATGACATCAGACATTTGATTAACCAATCAATGTTTATGTTTCTAGTGGGTTACCCACAGTTCCATACACCTCACGCCAAAAACTTGGCGTAACAGACCGTTTCATTGGCCAACTACTTACATCATTCAGAACGCAGGTTATATAACTCTTGCAGATCCTAGTGTAGTAAAGACAAGTAAAACGAAATTTTGAACTATAAAAAAAACGAAATGAAATAGGATCTGTGTTTTAATCAGAATTTTACATACTGCATCTTAAATAAAAATTGACATTTTGATATTTTATTTTTTTAGATTTGATGGTCGAGTGGTTGCTAAGTTACCATTTCTACCTATTTCATTAATCCAGAATTTATCTCATCGTAATTTAGGTGGTGAAGATTATACAGATTGTTCCTTTATATTTCTCTATATCTTGTGTACTATGTCAGTTAGACAGGTGAGTTAAGGCCATATAAAATAAAGTGTATGTTTTGTTTTTCTTATGGGATCACGGTGGCTAAGTGGGTAAGGCGCTGGCTCGCTAGCCTGGAGGTCGGGTGTTCGATCCCTGCATTGGCCGAGAAAGTTCATCCCGATTTTCCGGCGTGATTCCCCCTTGTCAATGATGCAGGACGGAGGGCCTGACAAGGACAGCTGTCTAGTCATTCGGATGAGACGAAAAACCTAGGCCCCGTGTACACATTGGCGTGCACGTAAAAGATCCCTTGACAGTTGGAATTCGATATAAGAGTAGGCCGTAGTGCCGCTGTCCGGGCAAAATTTCCCTCATAGCACACTGTATGGCGTATGCCCGTCTTCATTAGCCCAGTTAGGAGCAAAACAGTAGGACGTTAAACCCCATTTCATTCATTTCATTTTGTTTTTCTTATGCAACAATAGTAAATCCCTTCCCATAATTTTTTAAAATCAGATATCAGGTATTAGAAAGAGACAAATGTACCCTTCATTGCCATAGCAGAGCCACAGTGGCTCAGTGAGTGTGTGTGGGGGGGGGGGGGATGGCCGAGTGGTTAGCGCGTGCACGTTGTATCATAAGGTCTGTCATAGAATCAATTGACGGGGTTCGATTCCCAGGTTGTACCCGACAAGGAATAGGGTCGTCTGTCCATCCTTGTGGGTTTCCTCCGGGTCCTCTGGTTTCCTCCCATTGATAAAGACCCCTACATGCAAGCGAATTATAGAAATAAAATTGAACCTTTTGTTAGTCCCAAAATGACCTAGTGGATGTCAAACCCCATTTCTCTTTTTCTTTCTCTCTGACACAGTAAGTAAGGTACTGGGGACCCCAGGTTCATTCCTGGTATTGTCCGAGAAAGCCCTTCAGGATCTTCCATTGTTTGTTCCCAATCTTAACAATGTGTGGTCAGGAAAGAGATAGTGTCTAGTTGTTCGTATGTTACAAAAAACTGAGGTCTGGTGTATACGTAAAAGAACCCTTGACAATTGGAATGCGAAATGAAGAGTAGGCCGTAGTGTTGTTGTCTGTGCAAAATTTCCCTCATAGCACACTACGTAGGTTATTCCCGTCTTCATTAGACCGGTTAGTGCAGAATGGTGGGACATTAAGACCCATTTTATTGTCATAGCATTAAACATTTATTTTTATTAGGGGGGTTGGATGGCCAAAAGTTAGCATGCGCGCACTGTATCATTTTACGGTCTGTCATTGAGTCAACTGGCGGGGTTTCGATTCCCCGGTGGTACGTGACAAGGAGTGGGGTCGTCTGTCCAACCTCGTGGGTTTTCTCCGGGTCCTCCCACTGCTAAAGACCCCTACATGCAAGCGAGTTATTGAAATAAAATTGAACCACGTGTTAGTCCCGAAATGACCTAGTTTGTGTCGAGTGGACATTAAACCCCATTTCTCTCTCTCTCCCTTTATTTTTATTAGATATTAACTACTAATACATGTAAATCCAATCTCTTTCATTGAAATGTCAAAAAGAAAAATTTGAATGCAGTTTTCAATGTGCATCTCCTCTAGTTTATTCATTTTACTGTAATATAATTTCTTTCTGTCAGATTCCAGAACTTAATTTATTTGTATTTTTTTTCTTCAGAATATTCAAAAGATGTTGGGACTTGCCCCATCCAGATCTGCCAATAAACAAGGAACAGGTTTTTTTGGAGCTCCAACTCAAATGGGAAAATAAATTGATGGAAAACTGTTAGGACACATATCCAGTGTATTGTGAAATCATTAATTGTTTATGTCCATCTGTAGACATTTTGTAATTGGTCATTATGTTATGAATAAGCGTAAAATTCATTTATAAATGTTGATTTTAATAAATTATCATCATTCCTACCAACTGCCAGTATCATAGTTATTGTTTTAGTTTAAATATGGCAATATTCTGTTAAAATAAATAACTACCCAGAATTTTATTTACTGAAACTATCTCTAGTTGATATTATTTGTTTAGAAGTAATGCCACTCGTATTAGGGATTATCATAATGGAACAATTTTATCATTTTCATAATAAATATTTTTTATTTAATTTAAATATAGATTTGTTTTTTGTTTGGATTATTGGCTGTTGAGTGGCTGGAATCATATTGGGATTGGAATATCTGATAAATTTATCAAACGATTATTGATAATGAAATGCTGGATAGGAGGCGTTTTTAACAAAAACGACACACACGAATACCACACTTGCCAACACACAAAATATAATTGCTTTAGCAGACACATGTCGATGCCCCCCCCACCCGGACACAAAGAATATTTTTTCTCTCCTACATTCATGGAATAACACCATTTTGGCTCACTCCAATCTAATCCTATACATGCATGTATAAATGAGGACCAATATTGGTCTCAAAGCTTCTGATTCTATCAGAGATTCGTTGGTATTCCCTCCCACCCCACCCCTCGACCTAATGACAAACTGAAATTCCTGGACAGACCCCTGTTCAGATATTCTTGTGTATATAGACAAGATAACTAAAAAAAAAAAAAGATGCGTATCGTTTTGTCATCTGACAAACAGAATGGTAGAGAGTGGCTTGCCCCAGAAGTCACCCACCTTAATTCTAAAATAAATGACATTCGTTGAAGATACATTCTGTAAGATTTAAAAAGAGCTGGCCATTCTTGCTATAATAGTTATCACTGTTTGTAGTATGGACAAGATGTGCACATTGTGGTAACTTGGGCACTGGTATAGTAGAGACTTAGCCTCCTTTTCCCATTTTTAAATTAAATTCCTAGGTCATTTCAGGATTAACACATGGTTCAATTTTATTTCAATAATTCGCTTGCACATAGGGATCTTTAGCAGTGGGAGGAAACCGAGCACCTAGAGAAAACCTACAAGGTTGGACAGGCGACCCCCTACTCCTTGTCACATACAGAGAGAGAAATGGGGTTTAACGTCCACTCGACACAAACTAGGTCATTTCGGGACTAACATGGTTTAATTTTATTTCAATAATTCGCTTGCGCGTAGGGATCTTTAGCAGTGGGAGGAAACCGGAGAAAACCCACGAGGTTGGACAGGCGACCCTACTCCTTGTCACGTACAACCGGGGATTCGAAACCACGCCAGTCGGCTCAATGACAGACTTTATGATACAGCGCGCGCACGCTAACCATTCAGCCATCCAACCCCCCCTACTTGTCTTGAATCAAGAAAACTATCTGGTTGTCACCTATATTTTGATTCCAATTACAGCATTATTATTTGTTGCAAACAATATTCAAGTGCAATTCCTTAGGGCTATGATTTGGAGTTCCTTCACAAGTTTTCAAATAGATACAGAATCAATAAATATAGTTAACTGAAGATCAGAAATTCAGTGGCTAAGTTAAGAGGTTTTGTGTTTCCGCACCCCCAGCCCCACTCAGAGGCAAAAAATTGTGTTTCAATGGTTCTGTTCCAAGCGGAGGGCACTATAATTTAGATTACAGAAAGGTCCGGGGGGGGGGGGGGGGGGGGGGGGGGAGAATGTAACCATTGTAAACAAATTCTGTAGTCTCAGAAATTTTTAGAATAAGATGGGCAATTTCAGTAAACTTGTCTGACATTTCTGTGTTATCAACAACAGCTAAAATGCACAGATGGGCTGACAACTTGATATCTGCTTACACTAATTCAGTCAATGCTATAGTAAGCAAGCAATGTCCAAAAAGTGGATTGGTTGTGTGGCTATGACATATACCAACCAAAGAGTATAGGTTGGTAGTCGCTTAAATGTGCCTATAACATATACCAGCCAAAGATATGACAGATGGGTTGTCGCTTATATTTGCTTATGAATATACCAGCCAAAGAACTTTGATGGAATGTTGGATCGATATCTACACTGATTTAGTAAATTAAAGCAGACCCTCATAGAGTCGATAAGATACCCCAACTGATTGGGTGTCTAAAGAGTGTAAAAGGAATAGGGACGATGTCAGATTGGGTTTCATGCGAGTCTATCAACGAATTTCAGAAATAAAGACAAATTTTGACTTGAATATTTTATTCCATATTTTTTTCCATTTTATCGGTTAGATTTAGCAACTCGTTCCAATTCATCTTTCTTTTTGATAGCATAACTATTTGAAGAACCCTGAAATAAAAGATAAAATTTGTACTAATTTCTGGCCATGTAGAGAATCCATGGGTTTTTCTTAAAGATAAGTAACCTATTAATGTGGGTAAGACGCTGGCTTGCTAGCCTGGGGGGTCGGTTGTTCAATCCCTGCATTTGGCCGAGAAAGTTCATCCAGATTTTCCGGCGTGGTTCCCCCTTGTCAGTGATGCAGGACAGAGGACCTGACAAGGACAGCTGTCTAGTCGTTCAGATGGGATGAAAAACCAAGGTCCCATGAACACATTGACGTGCGCGTAAAGGATCCATTGACAGTTGTGCCACTGTCTGGGCAAAATTTCCACTCATAGCACACTGTATGGCTTGTGCCCGTCTTCATTAGCCCAGTTCGGAGCAGAACAGTAGGACGTTAAACCCCATTTCATTTCATATTGGATATTTGAAATATCTATGATCTACAGTGCAAACCTTGTACCACACAGCTAACAAATGTCTAAACAATTTCATCCATTTACATTTTAGTATGGAAAACAAACGAGGTTAAATGTCAAAACTTTTTTTTGCACTGACTAGGCTAATGAAGACTGGCATACGCCTTACAGAGGGCCATTAGGGAAATTTTGTCCGAACAGCCGTGCTATGGTGTACTCTTATATTCCAATTGTCATGGGTTTTTTACGTGCACGCCAATGTGTACACAGGACCTTGTTTTTTCGTGCCATCCGTATGACTACACTGTTCCTTGTCAGGTCCTGCTGCAATGGTAGGAGAAAACCACAGAAGAAAATTCTCACTGAGCCACCTATTTTAGTATGGAATAATACGTCAAATATATAGTTCTAATTCAATCTGATTAAAATACAGATCTATATTTCATTTCATTTTTTATACTTTCGATGGCCTACACTACATGAAGATCTGACAAGTTGTAGTGGAAGGTCGCATCAGGTGTCATACAAGTGGCTTTTAACGTCAGACATTGATTAATCAATCAGCGTTGACGTTTCCAGTGATTTACCTAAAGTTCCATGCACTTCACGTCAAAAACTCACTGTAACTGACCGTTTCATTGGCTAATCCCTTACTTCAACCAGAACGCGGGTTAAATAACAACTCTTTCCGATCCTAGTGCATAGGATCTGTGTTTCAATCGGTTGGTTTTAGTTAGGACTATTTTAAGCATCAACTTGAACCTACGCAAACTGGGAAAAAGAAATTCTGAAAGAATTGACCAATACAAACCTTGGCAGCATTAATGAGTTCATCAGCTAAACATTCAGCAATAGATTTAATATTTCTGAATGAAGCTTCTCTGGCTCCAGTACACAATAACCAGATAGCCTGATCAACACGTCTTAATGGAGAAACATCAACAGCTTGTCGTCTGACAGTACCAGCTCGTCCAATACGAGTAGAATCTTCACGTGGTCCACTGTTAATGATGGCATTTACTAAAACTTGAAGAGGGTTCTAAAATAATGGAAGACAAGAAATTTTGTTATGAATTAGATTAATCCAATGTAGTGAGAGAGAGAGAGAGAGAGAAATGGAGTTTAACGTCCACTCGACACAAACTAGGTCATTTCGGGACTAACATATGGTTTAATTTTATTTCAATAATTCGCTTGTGCGTAGGGGTCTTTAGCAGTGGGAGGAAACCGGAGGACCCGGAGAAAACCCACGAGGTTGGACAGACGACCCTACTCCTTGCCACTTACAACTGGGGATTCGAAACTACGCCAGTTGACACAATGACAGACTTTATGGTACAGTGGCACGTGCTAACCATTCAGCCATCCAATCCCCCAATCCAATGTAGTAAATGCAACAATAAAACCCCCTCTAGATCATTTCGGGATTAACATAGGGTCCAATTTTTTTTCAATAATTCGCTTGCGCATAGGGGTCTATAGCAGTGGGAGTAAACCAGAGGACCAGGAGAAAACCCACAAGGTTGGAACCCTCTAGATACACTGTTAGGTACAATTCATCAAGTACTTTGCCACAAATTTGTCTTTTTTCTGTGATTATATTGGTATTTTTAATACCGGTCCAACACAAAGTTTATTAATGCCTGTAATTTTGTATGGTTCAACTGAAATCAATATTTCCGAACCTGACAATAGCATATTAAACCATTAAATACGTCTTTTAAGCTACCAGTAAACAGAGAGAGAGTGAGAGAAATGGGGTTTCATGTCCACTCGACACAAACTAGGTCATTTCGGGACTAACACATGATTCAATTTTATTTCAATAATTAGCTGGAGCGTAGTTGTCTTTAGCAGTGGGAGGAAACCAGAGAAAACCCACAAGGTTGGACAGGTGACCCTACTCCTTGTCACGTACAACTGGTGAATCAAAACCCCGCCAGTTGACTCAATGACAGACCGTATGATACAGCGCAAACATGCTAACCATTCAGCCATCCAATCCCCCTCAAACAAAGAAACAAATTCAATAAAAATATTTGTACAAACCTCTCCAGTCAATAAATGAATAATCTCTAAAGTGTGTTTCAGAATTCTAACAGCCATTAATTTTTTACCATTATTTCTTCCGTGCATCATCATTGAACAAACAACTCGTTCAACAATAGGACACTGGGCCTTACGGAAACGTCGTAGCTGCCATCTACCAGCTGAATGGGGCATATATTTGGCAAATTTCTCCTTAACAGCAATATAATCCTATAAAAACAAGTTCGTTTGGATATAAATGTTCATATTAATGGCTCTTTGTTTTCACAAATTTAGGAGACATTTAAACTGTACAATTAGTTTTAACTTTAGACATAAATTAAGGATTATATAAATTAGGATTATATAAATTAGGATTATATAAATTAAGACATTTGGTTATATTATCAATATTGAAATACAAGCTTTCTGTAGAAATAAAATTTTAAGAAATTTTTAGATATCATACTAGCAATTCTAGTAACTAATGTTCAACTAGAGAAAGAAAGAGAGAGAGTGTTTAACTTCCACTCAACACAAAATAGGGCATTTCGGGACTAACACATGGTTCAATTTTATTTCTATAATTTGCTTGTGCGTAGGGGTCTTCAGCAGTGGGAGGAAACCGGAGGACCCGGAAAAAACCCACAAGGTTGGACAGGCGACCCTACTCCTTGTCATGTACAACAGGGGAATCGAAAACCACCCCAGTTGACTCAATGACAGACCTTATGATACAGCGCGCATGTGCTAACCATTTGGCCATCCAATCCCCCTAGTAACAAAATAGTTAGTTGTAAACAAGTATCAGATATGTGCTAGAAAGAGCTAACCCATGGTGCCTTTGCATAGGTATATATTATTCTGGATGTTTTATCCAGCAAAAAGGTACATATTGAAGCCCTTTTAGGAAGGATATGTACCCACTTTAAAAGTTGATGAGTACAGAAATGGACCCAAGACCAATGATACTGTCCCCTTATTTCCTACCTACACCTATTTACTTTTTCTACTTTTTTTTGTAAACCTAATTTCTAAGCACATGAGACTGATAATCCTTGTATTGATGACACTATAAACCATTCATATAAAATAGTTTAATTTAAAAGCATCTAATCAATATTAATATTGTCCATAAGCGAAACCCTCAGTTTATATACAACTAAAGGCATTATACATGGACTAGTTTATATAACTGTTTATGTTTTGCATGTTACAGTTGTTGTTTGGTGGGGGGGGGGGGGGCGCGTCAGGGGTCATGAGTGGCTTTAGACCAGGCCGTAAAGACATTTCATTAATCAATCAGCGTTCTGTTTCTCCAGTAGGATATCCACAGTTCTGTGCATCACACGCCAAGAACTCGCTGCAACAGACCGTTTCATTGGCTTATCCATCACATTAACCAGAACGTGGGCTATATAACAAAAAAAGGTACATTTTGGAAGAATATATAAAAATGAAATGGGGTTTAACGTCCTACTGTTCTGCTCCTAACCTGGGCTACGGCCTACTCTTATATCGAATTCCAACTGCCAAGGGATCTTTTACGTGCACGCCAATGTGTACACGGGACCTCGGTTTTTCGTCCCATCCGAACGACTAGACAGCTTTCCTTGTCAGCCCCTCCGTCCTGCATCACGGAAGAATATATACCCCTAGAATTGTGTCCTAATTAGCGAACTGATATCATAGGTACACCAACTTACAGTTAAACTGATGTCACTGACTTGAACATCATCTGATGTCCATTTTCCGAATAACTTGACCTCTGGATCTTCTGATACTGTGGCTGCGGTCGCAGTGACCATTTCTTCTACGGTTTCCGTCATGTTTACTGAAATAAAATTGCAAAATGACATGAACTTTAATAAAAAAAATCTTTTCTAATTGAGGTTAGTGCTAAATGATAAGGCCAGCTCAATTTTCGTCATAGGTCACAAGATGTAAACTGGGCTAGCGTTAATCCCAACCGTAACCCTAACCCTGGACTTGGCCCCAATGCTTACCCTAACCCTAACATACAGTTCCGCCAACAATCACATGCCCTAACCTTATTTACATCTCGGCGACCTTGACAAAACTGAGCTGGCCTTAACAAATAGATTTAGCCTCTAAATGATGGACAGCAAGTTGTCCCTGTAGCTAACTTAAGATTCTTGTATTGATGACACTATAAACCATTTATATAAAATAGTTTATTTTAAAAGCATCTGATCAATGTTGATTTGGTCCACAAGCGAAACCCTCAGTTTATATACAACTAAAGGCATTATACATGGACTAGTTTATATAACTGTGTTTTGAATGTTGCTAATACATACATGTATAATAAATTATGTTATTTTACAAATACTTCAAAAATACAAGTAAGAGTAGGGTTCGGAATTGGTCAAGTTTACAAAATCTATTCCGCGAAAGAACCACACACCTGTCCAGATCGATAATTGCTTAAAAATGAGGTCCTCAGTATAGACACACAACTTCAAGAAAACTGCAATTTTTGTAATCCTTGTGGTGGCAATCTGCACACTTAACACACATTTTTAAAATGAGGTTTAACCTCCACTCGACACAAACTAGATAATTTCGGGACTAACATATGGTTCAATATTATTTCAATAATTTGCTTGCTAGTAGCGGCCTTTAGCCGTGGGAGGAAACCGTAGAACCCGGAGAAAATCCACGAGGTTGGACAGGTGACCATACAAGGCTCTACACAGCATTTTGAACTTACTTGTGCAAACATAAGTAAATTTTCAAAACCACTAGCCAAACAAAATTTTCAGTTGCCAAGTCTGAAGATTAGAATAATTTGTCGTATGATATAGCTAAATTATATTGTGAACATACATAACTCGTCGTCCTATAATAATAATAAAATAAGATGTTTTAAACATTTTTTTCCGACTGTAATTTTGCTTGTTTGGGTGGTGTAGCGTCAGTAGCATGACTATCATCATTTTTCCCCAACTGAGACTCACTGTGAGACGAAGTTAATTTACTAGTAAAGTAAGACGATATAGGTCAGCTGTCAGATGTCTCGCAAACTTCCGATAAATACAGCGCATGCGCAATGAAAATTTCCTCGCAAAGGACAATGAGATTGACCCAATTTCAAACCAGGAAAGTAACAAGAGTGACATTTGACTGGGATCATTGCCGATTACGTTATCTTCACGGAGAAAAGTTCAGATAGCTATAGTGTTAATTGGGGACTTCAAGATATATGTTCACTCGCCAGAAACCTAGCATTTATAAATATCTGGGTCGCCATTGTCAAAATTCACTCGCAAATGCGAGTGTTTCAATCACATTGTAGAGCCTTGTGACCATACTCCATGTTTGTCACTTACAACCTGGGAATCAAAACCACGCCAGCTGACTTAATGAAAGACCTTATGATACAGCAGCACGCACATGGTAACCATTTGGTCACCCAACCCCCAACAGGTACAGGTACATTTAAGACATTGCAAAGACTGCTTGAAAAATCTCATTATCTTGTAGGTGGACGCAAGTCCCTGATGGATTGTTTATTAGGTTCCAGATAAGTCGAAGACAGTTTCCAATATCACTAATTCTATTTTCATTTAAGTTTAGCAAGGATCCATTATCTTAGAACTTTACAACTTGTATGAACTTTCTACGGTCAAATTATAGAGATCATTAATTTGTATTGATGACACTATAAACCATTTATATAAAAATAGTCCAATTTAAAAGCATCTGATCAATATTGATTTGGTCCACAAGCGAAACCATCAATTTATATAAAACTAAAGGCATTATACATGGACTGGTTTTTTTCCTTTTGTTGGAAGATGCATTATGTAAGATTTAGATAAAGAGCTGGCCGTTCTTGCTGTAATAGTTCAAAAATAAAAAATGCAAAATGAATATATTGAAATTTCATTCAAATTACTACATTTTGAGCAAAGTTATCAATGTTTGTAGTTTTGACAAGATGTATGCATTGATTGTTTATTATCACGATCGTATAGAATTAGCCGAGATGTTCAATAATATACCGTAACTTATTCTGAGTTCAAAAATCCAAAAGGTATACTTTTAAATATTTATGTCAGAACAAATCATCAAATCAACCTGATCCGAACAGGTCATTTTGAGACCTGTCAAAGTAGGGAAAGATGAAGAAATGGAATGTCATGAATGAATGAATTCACGAAGGGTTAACTTAAAAGTGTACATGTATCATTATGATCAAGTTTGCCAATGTCCGGCTATTGTGCAATAGATATTGTAAATGTGAATAAATCATTGACGTCGGTTACCATTGAGTTTTCAACAATCAAATATTAGTTATTGCTGAAATAGAAACTGCATTAAACTCAAAAATTTTAAAATCCATCTCAAAAATTAATAACTACCCCATGTAGCATGTATATATCACAAACACAGGTCATGAGAAATAGACAATTACCGCGGCCTATTATCATATAGAGGCATTAGAATTTAGGAGACCTGCATGTATGCAATATGGATGTTAATACAAAGGGGCAAATTTATATTAATATTTTGATTATCTCTTTGCACCCTACCATCAAACTGGCAATTAAAACGGGCCAGTAAATCTGAGTGAAATTATAAAAGCCAGTTTGGACAGTAGCAAAGCATGGGGCCATCCATGGGCTTGGTTTCAACTCAAGGAAGTGGTTTGTTGAATTGAAAATGAAAAACGTTAAATTTAGATAGAAAAAAGCAAAACATCCCAATTTCAAGGATGTGAAATGAAGGCGTAATGACTTCTTGGATGGATGATCATCTTCAAAATCGAACGAAACTTTGAAATGTAGATCAATCGACTGCCTAAAGAATGCAACCAAAATGTGACATGGGCGCAGCCATCTTGGATTTACAGCATGGAACTGTCCAGAGGATGTTTATGGGATCTAAATAACACGTTTCATCACAACAAAATTGAGTAATATTTAAAATAATTGTATGCCAATATCGTGTGATTTATTATAGATTAATATCATACAGTTATTTTATTTTAAACGTAAGATACTGGTGTTTATTTCATTTGTTTACTGACAACATGTCGTACCTCTTTGAAGAGTGACTGTAAAAAGAGCGACCGGGGTTTTCACGACAGAGGCATGGGGTTCTTTTAGAGAGTTTTGCTTGGGGAGGTAAATCTGAATAAACAAGAGTTGTCCCCCATTAATAGCGACTGACGGGGTAAAGTCTTAAACGTAAAAGAATATTATCCTATCACCAACCCAAATTCTGAAACCCGAGTTGCTCATGGAAAATTTTAAATTTGGTGACCTAAAGCAATTTCCGTATTACTATTTTTCGTCGGCAAAGAAATGAAATGGGGTTTAACGTCCCACTGTTCTGCTCCAACTGGGTTAATGAAGACGGGCATGTATATGACGGAGGACCTACTCGTATATCGAATCTTAACTGCCAAGGGGTCTTTTACGTGCACGCCAATGTGTACACGATACCCCGGTTTTCGTCCCATCCGTACGACTAGACCAGTGTTTAACTCGTTCACGTGAAATCACAAAGTCTGTCGAATTGAGTCAAGTGGCGTGGTTTCGATTCCCCACATCTATGCGACAAGGAGTAGCGTCGCCTGTCCAGCTTCGTGGGTTTTGTCCGAGTCCTCCGATTTCCTCACACAGCTACAGACCCTGTTGTGTGCACGCAAGCCAATTGTTGAAATTAAATTGAACCCTCCCCCCCTCTCTCTCTCTCTCTCTCTCTCTCTCACACACACTAATACGCGGTGGGTTAAACAGATTTTAGTCTAGGTTTGGAGGAGTTTTCCGATTTCCTCACACAGCTATAGACCCTGTTGTGTGCACGCAAGCCAATTGTTGAAATTAAATTGACCCCCCCCCCTCTCTCTCTCCCTCTCTCTCTCACACTAATACGCGGTGGGTTGAACAGATTTTAGTCTAGGTTTGGAGGAGTTTTCCGATTTCCTCACACAGCTATAGACCCTGTGTGCACGCAAGCCAATTGTTGAAATTAAATTGACCCCCCCCCCCCCTCTCTCCCTCTCTCTCTCTCTCTCTCTAATACGCGGTGGGTTGAAAAGATTTTAGTCTAGGTTTGACTAGACATATTTTTTACTAAAATTTTCATAAGTTGGCATTTACAGCACAAGAAAATGTTTTTTTTCGGATTCAATTTGACAGGCATTGCACTGTTTAAGAGGTCATCATGGGTAGCGTGGGTGTAGGCGTGTATATGTCCCACAGTAACACAGAATTGACCTTTCAAAATGTAAATTTAATCCGCATATACTGACTCTGATGTTTGATTTGACGGTACACTATGCAAGAACTAAATCTACCCACGGCAGATCTTTATTTTGGCTTCAAGAGCTATATACTCTGTTATTTAGACATTTATTGTCCAGTACCGTTGTTACGATAATAAATAAATCTTCTAATATTCATAATTTCGCTCAGAATAAAGTAATTTGAATGACAGTTTCAATATATTCATTGTCCCCCGCCTTTCGAAGAAAGCATGGGACTATTAAATGGGTCTGTCTGTTGGTCCGTCCGTCTGTCGGTCCGTCACACCTTTTGGAACACAATAACCCTCCTTCTAATTGAGCTAGAACGTTCAATCTTGGTGTAGGTCACAGTAGGTGTTTATTAGGCGAATGTCTTGATGGAGTTCGAAAATGGATGTTTTCTGCTTAGGGTAAACAGGGATACGCAATTTGATTGGTTTATGCTTTGATTCACGATAACTTTAGTTCTTATTAAGTGAGAGGGATGAAACTTGGTGTATCGTTTCACGAAATCAATACCTTGGCTTAGTTCGATAATGAGCATTTTTTGCTCAGAGTAGTTAGAACGCTAATAATTTGATTGGTCGAGACTTTAGAACACAATAACTCTCCTAATTGAGGTAGAATGTTCAAACTTCATGGAGTAGGCTTTCATTAGGTGATTGCTTGATGGAGTTCGAAGGTGAGTATTTTCTGCTTAGGGTAAGTAGAGATAAGCAATTTGATTGGTTGATGCTTTTGGACACGATAACTTTAGTTCTAATTAAGTGAGAGTGATGAAACTTGGTGTATAGTTTCATTACACCAATACCTTGACTAAGCTCGATGATGAGCATTTTCTGCTTAGACCAAGTAGCGATAAGCGATTTGATAGGTCGAGACTTTAGAACATAACAACTCTGTTTTTAATTGAGGTAGAATGTTTAAACTTGATGTACACTGAAAAAACCCTTGTGTTGGATCTCAACACAAGAACTTGTGTTAAAAATATTTAACATATGTTTGTGTTGTATTGCATTGCAATGACACAAGTTTGTGTTTTTTTCAATGTCTTAACACAAACTTGTGTACATTTATAACATCTTATGTGTTTTTTTCCATATAATTAATTACGTCGACATTAAAGATAACATTTATTATGTTCCTTTATCACTAGCCTATATGTAAAACCACTCTTCCTGAATTTGAATGTCGAGTAATTCACTTGATTTATTTTTTAATATTTCTAATTATCTAAAAGGATATATTAATTATTACAAACATTAAGTAGAAATCGCAATGTATGTATCGTGCGATGCATTTAATATCTCTTTTAAAACAACGTATTTTATAACAGTATACTGATATAAGAGATCAAAGTTTTAGTCAATTATTATCTAAATATAAACTATTTATTTAATTAGATATAATAAAAGATTGTTCTGATTCTACTCTTTGTATATTTTCACATCTTGTCTCAGACAATACAGAGACAGGTTATTACAATGTCTGCATTTGGAAGTGTCTGATTGATATCGCCCCAATAAACTTGACACATCAAAGACAATAACAATTGTGTTATATCTACGTTTTAAAAAAATGTTTGAATGGGCGTGGAAATAGTCGAGTTAATCTTTTTATTTAATTTAATTGGTTCATTAATCGAAATTGGAAATTTATTCTTACCTGTAAATGACCAATTAAAATGAATTACTCTTAAAACAAAGAAAGAAATATTTATTGAAGTAATTTTGCGGTATTAAACCCTGTGGTACTGCAAATGTTAACTGTATTATTAAGCATTAGTATCGAAAAAAGTGATATTGTTGTGAAAAAAGTTTGTTCAGAAAATAAGAATATCAGGTTTGTGATTTTGGTATTTTTTAATACAATGTATTTATAACGCAAATTTTTCGTTTCGGTTAAAACAAAATATACCTCCATTTTAATTGGCCGAAGGATGTGTGTCTAATAGAAATATGGCGGGCGGACAAACTGACCAAACAGTATATTTCGAGGTATTTGAGGTAAGCTAATTTAATATTATATCATAACTGCATGTGCATAATTGTGTTTCTGTTTGATTAAATATTCAAAAAATCATTCTTAGGATACAACCTCGACACCAGTCCGCCCTGAATTGCAATGTTTGTTTTGTGTTCTGGGCGCCATTTTGAATATAATACAATCCAGCGATAGTGTAGTCTAATTCCTTTAAAAGGGAATCCTAATTTGTTAATTTTCTGCAATACCACTTCGGTGGAAGCGGACGTTAAATAAAGCTATTTCACGTACAAAGACCTACAATAAAATCCAGGTGAATTGGGAAAAATATTCATGTATTTTCTTGATGAAGAGTAGCTATTTCAATTTGTAAATGCCCAGTCATCTTAGACAAATAATAATTCCAACTTCAAATCAGTTTTATTTATTCAAATCATACCATGAAGAATTGTATTTTTCCACTTGCATAATAATAAAAACTTGACTTTTATTATTTTATTTATTCAGGCCAAGAGCATGGAAAATTGGTAATTGCCTTGTATCACTGCTAACTATAAATCACAGGGAGCCTTGGGCAGAAATGATAATATGGTTCTTAGATATGTTACTGTGTACAGACTGAACAGAAAATATTTATACACTTGCTATTACAGTACTGGCCAAATTAATAGCAATTTTTTCTAAAAACGTTGCAGAAGTAACTCACTAAAATTGAAGTATGAATAAAATCATACACCGTGAATATATTGAACTGAATATTCTTACACATAACCATAGGCGTACGGGGAAATTTTTGACTGGGGGCGGTGGTGGTTGGTGCCCCAAAAATGTAGTTAGGTTCTTTATATGTTACATAATAATAATAAATTCGCTGTTAAATTGGACACATTCAAGAACACAATATTTTTTTATACAACTTTTACAAAGTACAATTGTGTGCCCAAATTTTCCCAGCATTTGGTTCCCCGCCCCCCCCCCCCCTAGCTCGTACGCCTATGCACATAACCATATTGACATCTACTTCACATTGCATGGTTGGTCGACGCAACGCCGTGTATAGATAAAGTTGCGACAACTGTGAAGCCAGGAATTTCATATGACGTCATGCAAACTTATTATCTATTTATATGACCTATTATATTGTTGGATGTCATAGATTTCAGCGAATAAGTGTATATAGGACATAAAACATACATTTTTTAAACAAAAAGTATAGCTGAACATACTATTATTAGTATTATACAACAAGAAGCGCACATTTTTGTTATATAGCCTTATTCTATAAGAAAAATCAAAATAAAAGATACACTAGATAAAAGTACTATTAAACCAGGGGCGGATCTAGGAATTTTGAAAAGGGGGGGCGCTGCAAAATGAAGGCATTGACCGCGGAGACGGGGCTTGCCGCTGAGGGGGGGGGGGGGTCCCCAAGAAAATTATCCGTCATTTCCTTGCATCTGTAGCCATTCCAAGAGCTATTTTCCAGACTGGTGTGTTTGAGTCGATGGTTCGAGTCATTTGGGATCCCTACAACGGGTTGGGAACGGACATATTTGAGTCTGAGAAACGGCACTTTCAGCCGTAAAAAAGGGCACTGTTGAAAATTAGGGGGGGGGGGGGCGCCCCTCGCGCCCCCCATTGAATCCGCCTCTGATTAAACATATTTAACTTGCATTCGCTTTTAAAGGAGCTAAATCGCTAATATTTGGGAACTAGAAATTGTCACAAATGGGTCGCACTAACCTTGATGTTGACAAATTCGTAAGACGATATGAACATCAAGGTGATATATGCATATATGCAGCATAGATAATTAAAACTTCTATTCAAGTTGAACCAACTGTATCTATTTATGTCTTACGTCGAGCTGAATACATT